AGGAGAAGGGGCTGGGGAAGAAGACAGAGGAAAAGGCAAGGCGAAGCAAGTAGTCTCCCCTTAGGCGTGTTTTCAGGTATCTGGGGTCAAGAGCAGCCTTGACGAACGCAGACTCTGATAGAGGTCAGTTTTAAACGGTGTTACTGCGAGCAGCCTAGCGGAGCCTGGGCCGTGTCACTCTGTCTAACCCAGGCCATCAATCACCTACTGGCCTGCCAGGAGCTGTCTGGTAACTGGATGAGCCGCTGGGGCAGTGCTTGTGCCTGGTACCCTTGACACTGGGGCCTAACCGTGCATCCTCCCCCGCCTTGTTTTAGCTCATCTCACAGCACAAGGGAGAACGCAGTCCAAGAGGAGAATGAGGCCACCTTCACATGACTGGCGGTAGAGTATAACTGCCCTATCTTAACACTGTTGTTAGTCTTTCATCACACTTGGTTTACTAAAACCATCACAGACAGCACATGTACAAACTCACAGGACACACAGTGTCGTAAAATATGTGGCTGAAGGCATCCCTGGGGTTCTAAACCCCGTCCCTGTGGATAAGGTGCAGTGGGTGTCCTTTAGCTAAGTAAAGCTTATAGGAAGAAAAGTGAAGCAATGGGAGGCTAATACATGGGTGGAAAGGAAGAGACAAAGTTACTCCGACAGTGTGGACTCCACTAGAGAGTTGGCAGAAGAACAGTGAAATGGGTGTGTGTGGGGGAGTAAACACTGTTTAGGCTGTGCCTGAACTCCGCTATCCTGGAATTCATGAACTAGAGACAACTCCGGCCTATGATAAAACAAAACCAAACCATCGAGAAGACAGTCACAAAAGTGAGTTGCCGGAATGGGAGGATACGAAGATCAGCTGAACAGAAAGAAGGGCTAACAAAGGGACTGCACTGAAACCTGGGGAGGGATCTGCGGGCATGGCTAAGGTAGGTTTTGCTGGTCGCCAGGACTGACACTTGGGTTCAATCTTTGGGATGCCAGTGCTAGAAGGAGAACACTGACTCTTGCAAGTCACCTCCTGACCCTCCCTCCCAACATATACATTCTCATTCTCTCTCTTTCTCTCTCTCTCACTCAATAGAAGGCTAAAAAAAGATTTAAAATAAAATGAGATTTGGTGGGGCCAGCAAGGTGACTTTGGCATTAAAGGATGACAACTTTGATTCCTGAACATACATGATGAAAGGAGAGAAGAGATTCCTCCAAGTTGCCCTCTGACCCCCCATGTGTGTGCTGTGATATCTGGACATGTGTACGTGCGGATCTATACTCCGTCTCTTCTGCTGCCTCCATGCCCCCATTTTCAGTTTATAATATGAGGTCATCAATAACACAGAGAAAACTTTGTTTTCCTTTATACACAGCAAATGTAAATCTTCAAAGATAAATATAGTACCAAATTCTAAACACAACAAAAATTAGATTATCCTTTTATGCAAGGCTTCCAAATAAAATTAAGATCTGGCTTCCAACGGGCTTAGCATGTGACATTAGGAAGGAGGAGAGGAGAAAAAATAGGAACTACACCCACCTAAAAATGTATAGTGGAACTCATCTTTGCTGACATTGCCCAGCTTCCTAAACATCCCATCCCATTCAGCACGGCTTCAGCCAAGTTAGCAGTAAGGCACACCGATTTAGAATGTAAACATGCCACCCCGGTGCTTTTTACATTAAATAGTAAAACCAGCCATTTTGGACATTTATACTACTATCCACTTAGAAGACAAAGGGTTAATTTAGACCTATTTTACATAGGTTACCACAATCTAATGAGATAAAAGTCTACACATGCAAAGTCCTAAGATTTCAGTTGGTGTTTTGAGTGCTTATAAGTGGGGGCTTGGTGCCTGTTCCTATTATAAAGATGAGAAGTATATTAGCGATATCTCTGTTAGAGATAGGCATGGCCACTGTGTATACTGGATTCCTGAAAGACAAGAGAACTTGATTATCAAATTCTACTTCTCCATCAGTTTATATAAAATTATTTTTTAAGACAGGAGGGAAATATCATTAAAACAAGCTATATTTAAAAAATAAAACCTGGCTGGGGCATGGTGGCTCAAACCTTTAATCCCAACACTCAGGAGGCAGTGGCAGGCAGACATCTGAGTTTGAGGCCAGACTGGTCTATAGATCGAGTTCCAGGACGGCCAGGGCTACATACACATAAAACAAAACAACAACAAAATACATAAATAAAACTTGTGGGGTTGTATAGATGGCTTAGTGGTTAATAGTCCTTGCTGTTTTTTCCAGAGGGTCCAGGTTCTACTCCTAGTACCCAAAGAGCTTACAACTAACTTCAGTTTAGGGGGTATGACACCCTCTTCTGGTCTCCAAGGGTACCAGGCACACATGCAGTACACAGACATGCATGCAGGCAAAACACTCATGTATGTAAACAAGTTTAAATGGAAACTAAAAGCAAATAATAATAAAACACGTGGGTCAGTGGATACAGGTACCTGCTGCCATCCCTCATGAACTGCGTTCAATCCATAGAACCTGCATGGGAGGTAGGAGGAGAGACCTAACACCCATAAGCTGTGTCATCTCTACACATGTGTTCTGGTACAAAGATTTGTGTGCGCATGCATGCATGTATGTACAAATCAATCTAGAAATAAATTAAGTGAAACCTTTATTGCTGTCCCATGACAGTTGTAAATATCGATATATCTGCAAACCGACCAGGTACAGGAGTCGAACAGCGTGGATCCCTAGCCGCCCGTCTGCAAGGTCACTGACTCTGTAAACCCTCCTTACCCTTCCATAGTACCCCGTCTAGGAGGCTTCCAAAGAATCCTTACAGCTTCTCTCACTGTTCGATTTTTCCTACTTTAAATACAAAATCACTGGTAGTATTTGCATTCTGTAGATAGACACCGACTGTACAAAGAAAACATTATTATTTACAAGAAGATCTGTATAATAAAGAGTTCTTACAATCAAACATTCCCCTCAGATTACTTCCTCCTCAATCTTTTGAAAGAATGAGAGCGAGAGGGAGAGGGAGAGGGAGAGAGAAAGAGAAAGAGAGAGTAAAACCTGTTTTTACTCTGCCATCTGCTTTCCAACCTGGACGAATTTCCAAGGAATTACCATAGCTACCTTCTTGTAAGTCAAACACTGAGTGAGGCACTATACGTCTTAGTGCACCCAGTCTCTGCAGAACCCATTTCTAGATAAGGAAACTTGAGTTCCGATATTCCCTAACTCGAATTAGCTGCAGAGCGCAGGTTTCTAGTGCATCCCACGTGCTTGTTCGCTTGGCTGGTAACACCCCGTGTTAGTCCTTCCTGGTTTCTCCATGAATTCCCTAATATTTCCTCAGTGTTCTTCCGCAAAGTAGCAGCTTCTCTATCATTTCGGCATACACACTGTACTTCTATAATTAGATTGACTTTTAAAATAATTGCCGCTAAACCTCAGTCAAACAGCAAAGACCCGTCCTGACAGTTTCACCCGCACATAAATAATGTGCTTTCCAAACTTAAGTCTTTAACATATGGTTAAGGAGAAAGAAACGACTTCATGGACCAAGTTGTTCTGTTCACGGTTTTAATACACTCCTTTTTGGAATGATTTTTAAAAGCTTCTATTTAGTATTAAAACAATTCACTTACTGTTAAACCTTTAATCCTAGCAGAGGCAGGAGGTTCTTGTGAGTTCAAGGCCAGCCTGGTCTAAGCAGCAAATTCCAAGACAGCCAGGGCTACACCCCCTCCCCCAATCATTAACATAATAGTGAATTTCCCTAGAAAATGTGGCAAAAGAATACCAAACAGTTTACATAAGATCAGACCCTGTGGTATTTCTCAGTGTCCAAATTTCTGGTTTACGTTTCACTTCACTTAAAGCACTGCAAATCTGCTCTAAAGAGATCCCTCAATTATGCCTCTCAGGTCAGGAGTTCTTACCGTGCTGGAGATAGCCAGCCATAAAAAACTGTTGTGCATACCGGTGCATATAAAAGACTGCATTTCATTTTATTACTACTATTTTTAAGACAGGGAGGGACCTGGTATTCACTATGTAGGCCACATTGGATTTGAATTCATAACTCTCCTGCATCAAACTCATGATAAGCATCTACTAACGATCTTAAGGTATGAATTACTTTTAATATCATAGCAGGAAAAATGTCATAAATTCAGAGATCACAAATATTTAGCATTGTGTGTGTTGCTGATATCTGAGCCCAGGGCCACACTTCTGAGACAGCACGCACTAGGGACTGGGGGGCACAGGTCAGGCATAGAGAGCGCTTGCCTGAACTGCACCAGTCTTGGGTTCAATCTCCAACAATCAAAGCAAGCATTTACCACACAGCACACACCAAACCCTGCATTTTAAATACCACCCAATCATAAAATACTGTCAGACTTCTACAAGCCGAATTATCTGATGGACTCCTCATCACCAGCTGTGTGGCCCACAGGCTGTGCAAGTGACGTCTATTTCGTTTGGTAAGGGGAGACAAATTACGTCTCAGATTTGGGTTGCCTAGTGAGCTTTTGGGCAAGTTAGTTCTACTTTCTCTTCACTCTGCCACCTCCTTA